GAGAGAGGCCAGCTCAGCCCACCAGGGGGCAGGGCTGGCTGGCATGTGGTGCTGGGGGATTGAACCGCGGTCCCTGATGCTTTTGCTAAGCTTGTTCTAAATAGGTGCTTTAGACCACTGAGCCATCTCTCCAGCCCTGAGAACCGTTTTATGATCTTTGCCTAATTGCTATCAGTAACATCCAAGTCAACACTGATCTTTAAAACATTATCATTTTTGTATCTTTTTATTATTACATGCATGGAGTATATAATGTTTACATGCCCGTGTGGCATTTGTGACATCACACATCTTAACTCTTTTCTCGTCCTCTTTCTCTTCCTTCTTCCATCTCTTGATCTCTTTCCTTTCTGAGAAAGATCTGTGTCCTGCTTCCTACCATCTTTTGCTTTGCTCTGTTTATGCTCTGGTCCCTTCTGAAAGAGAACTCATGTGGCATGTAAGCTTGATTTATTTCACTCAACCATGTGTCTCAAGACACGTCCATTTTCCTACAGATGACTCAAGGTTTTTTTCTTTATAGCAGAGTAGTACTCCGTTGTGTATAAATACTACATTTTTTTTGTTCATTCATCTGCTGGTGGACATGTAGGTTGCTTCCAAGATTTAACTGTTATGAGTTGTGTTGATTTATTTCTTGTTTCACTATGAGCCCTTGGGGAGGAGGAGACACCACTGAAGTCTATTCTGGGGGATTCCCTGCTGTTCCAGGCCTCCTTGATATCAGGGATATGGGTTTCTCTGGATGCATGCACCCCTGCTGGCCTCCTTGGTCTAGTCCCACTCATCTTAGGCTGCACCCACCCCAGTGACAGGGAGCCCAGCAGAGTTATGAGTCATCTCTGATCTGGGTGACTAGATGCTCCCTGAAAAACAGTCACAAGGGGAGGTGACAGGAGATCATTGGCCCAAGTTAGAAGCCTGATCCTCTACCCCTTGGGCTGAGAGTGCTTGATCTTCGCCCCTCCCTATACCTGAAAAGTTCCTTTCTCTCCCCACATCCCTCCCCACAGTGGTGGTTGTCAGAGCTTTGGAGTCCCAAGGAACGCTGGGGCCCCTGGAAGGATACTAGCTGATTCATGGGCGTCACAGGGCTGCAGAACCAACTGGCAGAGCCCATGAAGCTCCCGGCCGGGGCCGTGGTGCAGGCTGTGCCTCGTTGCAACTGCAGGGCTGACGCTTGGGGCTGGGCTCAAGTTGCCTGTTTTGTTTATTAGGCCAAGGGTACCTTGTCAGCATGACAGAGCCACAGCTAGTGCCAGTGTCCCAGGGAATTGTCAACTGAGGCTGTTCGCTGTTGTTTTGCTTTGTTCTTCTTCTGAAATGACAAGCACATGGGTCCGTGACCTCCCTGGAATGTCACATCAGGGTTGATCAGTGCACCCGGGTTGATAATTTCTAAAATGTAAGCATGAGTGAGAAGGAAAAGCTTTTGCAAGAGTCTGCCACCGAGAGAACAAACGTTCCGAAAGCACGAGTTGTCAACAGGAATGCTCGTGCCACCCACAGTAATGCTGTTCTTAAAAATGTTGGAGTTTCCCTTGCTGGTTGGAAAATCTTATAAACAGAGAATTTCAGGAGACTTTTATCTTGTTTAAAAAATTATATAACAAGACAACTCAAGATCTCCTGCGTAGTTCCTAAGGATAACTGGTGTGGGGTGGTGGGGTGTTTATCAGTCAATCTGCAACAAAAATCTTTGCATCTGTGAATCTATGGATGACTTAAGATCTTAAATAGGGGGCCGGGGAGATGGCTCAGTGGAATAAGCACTTGCCTGGCAAGCGCAAGGGGCTGAGTTCAGTCCCTGGTTCCACCAAAAAAAAAAAAAAAAAGATCTTAAATATCTGAGCTACGGGGTAAGACCCTGTACCGAATACATAAATGGAAAAACAGAACAAACAAAGAACATAAATAATAACTCAGAAAAGACAGCTACATTGACAGTCTCTGTGTCCAAATTAACATAATCAGATCTTTTTCAGTCATAGTTTGATCAGTCCAAAAAAATTTTTTTTAATTGAAGCTTTCCCACTTAGGTTGTTTTCGCTGAGATAGTATTAACAATAACACACTTTGAAGAAGATAAAATTTTTGTGGCACCAATAAATAGAAGAGAACTGTTATGTTTTGAATTCTTTTTTATTTTGGTGTTTGTCTGAGACAGGGTCTTTCGATGTTGTTCAGGCTGGACTTGAACTCACTGTGTAGATCAGGCTGGCCTCATAACGATCTTCCTGCTTTAGCCTTCCAGGTGTGAGAACTGTTATTTTATTTGCCAATTATACATTTTATTTTATTCATTTTAATGAGAACTGTTATATATATATATATATAGATAGATAGATAGATAGATAGATAGATATAGATATAGTTATTTCCTTCCTCTTTCTCCCCTTCTCATTCTGAAGTTGTCCTTTGGTGTGTGTATGTGGGAGCGTGATGTGTTAACGTATAACCAGTGGTCTGTGTCATGTGGAAGGCGGCACGTAGGGAATGTTATTTTGACAGGAAGGCCACGAGGTGAAGACAGCTGGAGGATGGAAGCCAGAGGCTGGTGGTCTCTGAGGTCAACACGGAGCCACAGCTGTCACAGGAGCCTCGTCCTATCAGTGTTCTGTCCACCTCAAGCTGTGGCCCCCGAGCCCCTTTTGGGGCCACCTGTGACCACGACCTGGTGTTTGCAAGCTGAGTGCCAGCCCGCCTGGGTGGCCAGCGCCCGGCTCTGTCGGGCCTGGAGTTGGGACCCCAGGAGTCTTTCTTTCACCTGCTGTGGTCCTCACTGTGCTGTCCTCTTCAGAGGTCCTGTCCATTTGCTGGCCTGGGTTCCCCAGAGTGCATCAGCTGGGAGGACACCCGGCATGACCTGGCCCTGCGCCTTTCGGTCCGAGACTGCCTGACTGTAGCTGGTCCTAAAGCTCTCACCCGGAGCAGACTTCCCCTTTTAGGCCTTAAGAATATTGGGCAGTTTGGGCTCATTTTATACAAAGATAAGGTAGCAGCAGAGAGAGAAGCAGCTGGCATGCATGCCCCTGGCACTCAGGTGGGACGCGGGTCCCTGTGCCCTTGGCCTTTGGTGGTCTCCACTCTAGGCCTTCAGGGAGGACATTGCTGTGCTGTCTCCTACACGCGAGAATCTGGTGCCTATAAATGGGGACCACAGAACCCTGTTTTCCAGCCGTGTTCCTTTTGTGAGTCAGGTTTGTAGAAGGGACACCGAGGATTTCAGTGCCCATAAATGCAGGTGCGGCCCTGTGTCTGAGGGGTGGTGCCCCTCATGGCCTCTGGGCTTGTGAGCCAGGCAGTCCCTGTGTGTCTCCCATCAGTTGCTGGTGCAGAGGCTGGGCCTGGGCTGCTCCTGCCGTTCCCCGCTGGGCCCTCAGGTTCTGGAGCGGGGGGTTCATGGCCAGGGCTCTTGGACCCACCCACCCGGCTCCATGCAGCGTCTGGTCTCTGTGCTGGAGAGATGTGGGCTCTCATGGAGGCTGGTGAGGCTCCAGGTGACATTCTGGGGCCCATGGAGGTGGGCATGAGTCTCAGGAGTGGGTGGGCGTGAGCCTCAGGAAGACCCCCATGGGGTTTGCCCCACCATGGCAGACCCTGGAGATGAGGAAGCCTTTCTTTTTTAATTTGGTGTTTGTCTGAGACAGGGTTTTTCTATGCTGTTCAGGCTGGTCTTGAGCTCAGTGTGGAGATCAGGCCGGTCTGATCGGGCTACCTCTGGGGTAGAGCGGTGCCTTTGGCAGCTGTCTGGGGACCCCTTTCCTGGGAGGTGGCTCTGGCCCTCAGCATGCTGGGGAGCAGGATGCCCTGGAGAGGGCCAGCAGCAGCCAGGGTGGGGTGATGCTGCAGGGGGACTCAGCACCCTCCCGCCCCCAGGCAGAAGAGGAGCGGGACGACATGGAGAGGGTGAAGCTGGACAACAAGAGGATCCTCTTCAACCTCCTGCCGGCCCACGTTGCACAGCACTTCCTCATGTCCAACCCCCGGAACATGGTGAGCACTCGGCCAGCCGTGACTGCCCTTCCTGGGTCTGCCTGGTGCGGGGGCAGGGGTCCAGGGTCCAGCTCAGAGCACCATCTCACTGTTCCACCTATAGCCGGAGGCCCCTGTGGCCTGCATGTGACTTCATTTAGCAGGCTTAGCTCTTGTGCCCAGCACAGGGCACATCTGAGAGCTCCTGCCTGCCCAACCCAGGCTGAGGGGTTTGCCTTGCTCTTCTCTGTGATCATGAAAGAGAATGCAGCTTTCGTGTGTGTGTGTGTGTGTGTGTGTGTGTGTGTGTGTGAGAGAGAGAGAGAGAGACAGACAGACAGACAGACAGACAGACAGACAGAGAGACAGTGAGAGAGAGAGAGAGAGAGAGAAGAGGGGGAGAGAGGGGAAGAGGAGAAAGAGGAGAGAGAGAGAGGAGACAGAGGAGAGAGAGGGAGAGGAAGGGACAGAGGAGAGAGAGGGAAAGGAGAGAGAGGAGAGAGAGAGGGGGGAGAGAGAGGAGAGAGATAGGAGAGAGGGGAGAGAAAGACATTCAATAAGACACACAAGTGGGGAGACAGTGTTCTCAGGCCAGAACAGCGTACATGGAATCTCCCTGGTAGCCGGCGATGAGCCAGCGCATCCCTTCAGAAACAGAGCTCTCGGGCCGTGGGCTGGCGCAGGCTTCCCGCATCTGCTCGTGGGGGAGCGTCCTTTCCCTTCCTGGTACCTGGAATGCGTGGGGTGGTCAGCGCTCCTAACACCACGGGGTGCAATACTGAGTTGGAGCCAGCTGCACAGGACAAGGCCGATGTTTGTGATGACCAAGGTCCAAAGCAGAAGATATGGATGCTGTGTAGGCTAGCACACAAATACACAGTGAATCTTTACATTTTCAAAAGAAAGATATTACGGTGAAGGACACGTTGCCCGAAATCCTCAAAATCCTACCCATTGCTTCCAACACACTTACCCCGTCATTCCTGACTTGTGTTCAGCCTGGCAGCATGATGTTTGAAACAGTTCAAAACATTCATCTTTCATGGTCATTTGGGCTTTGGGGAAGAGCCAGAAGGCACGTGGCGCCTGATCTGGTGAATAAGGTGGATGAGGACGTGGCAGCGCTGCGTCTTTGGAGCCCGCCTTTCTGCTGGCTGGCGCTCGGCTGCAGCACTCACCACGTTTCCAGTCACTCCTTGTAAAGACGCGCAGGAGAGAGCGGGGAGGAGTGTGCTCAAGGCAAGGAGAAGCGTTCTGAGGGGCTTCGTGGCAGCCTGTCTTTTATTGAAACTTTTATGAACTTATTTAAACACACCAGATTCTTCTCGTCGTCCTCCTGTCCGCTGGCGCTCATGCTCACAGTACCCGCAGAGCAGGTGGCTTCCCCGAGATCCCTCTCTCCACGTCTCTGCTCCAGGAGGACAGAGCTGTGTGTCCCAGAAACCCCGGGCCACCCTGTGTGTGGAGCCCACTGACCCCAGTGTCCTTGCAGGATCTGTACTACCAGTCCTACTCCCAAGTAGGGGTCATGTTCGCATCCATCCCCAACTTCAATGACTTCTACATTGAGCTCGACGGCAACAACATGGGGGTTGAGTGTCTGCGGCTGCTCAACGAGATTATCGCTGACTTTGATGAGGTGAGGCCTTCTGCGCTGTCTGCTGGGCCGGCGAGGCTGTTCCTTCACACGGCTAGATCCTGCAGGTGTCCTCCGCTCTGTCCCTTTCTAAGTAGATGGACAGGGGACAAGCAGGGCCTGAGATGTGTGTACATCCTGTCTCCTTTGGGGTCCAGTCAGAGAGTATTGGTGCTAAGCTGGGGACCAGGTCCCACTCTGGAGCTTGACATCTGTGGTGGCTGGGACAGCCTGGCTTCTCCATAGCGACAGGTGGCGCTTCCTCAGCTGGGCACTGCCTGTCCCTCTGTCCCTGTTGCTGGAGACCCCATCCTCCCAGGTGGCCACAGGTGCAGCTGCAGGGGCAGACCTGCTCCAGACTTTTTTGCAATGCACCCCAGATCTTGTTTGGTACCAGAACAAAGCGGCCAGGGCACTGTCCAGGGTGTGTCGGTTGGTCTCTCTGTGGCTGCTCCTGGTGGCCGAGGACCGCAGTGACCATTTTGTGTTTTTTTCTGAAGCTCATGGACAAAGACTTTTACAAGGACCTGGAGAAGATCAAGACCATTGGCAGCACCTACATGGCTGCAGTGGGGCTGGCACCCACCTCGGGGACCAGGGTGAGCAGCATCCGGGGCGCATGCTGGGCCTAGCTCCAGCCCTGCCGGGGGCCCTGGGGTCCTGGGTAGGTCCTGGGCTGGAGGGCTTTCCCCAGGCTGATGGGTGGGGCTGGTCCTCCACATGCAGTCTCCTCGGGAGAATCACGTGTCCCAGAGCCCCCCTCCCCGGTGTCTTCCCTTCCTGCCCTCAGCCCCTGCCATTGCCTACACTCCTTCCCCAGAGCAGAATTGTGAAAATGAAAGCGATCTGAATAGGTGGAGAGCTTCTAGTGAAACGGATCCAATCACAAATAATCTTCCAAACCAGGAAGCAGCAGGCCCAGGGCATCCTCTGGGGGATTCTCCCAAACCTTTAAGGAGAAACCGCTATGGGTCCCCTACAGTCTCCCGGAAGGTAGAAGCGGAAGACATATTTCCTAACACATTTCTGTGCAGTCACCCTTATGCCTAAAACCAGGCAAAGCTGTCCTAAAAAAAGAAAGCCGCAGACCAGTCTTTTTCCAGAGCAGGCCCGCGTAGGTCCTCAACAACCATTAGCAAACTAAATTCAGTAACAAAGAAGAATTGCAAACCAGCACCCAGTGGCATGTTCCCAGATACGCAAAGTAGGCTCTGCCCTCCAGAATGAATAGGTGGGATTGATCACATCAACAGAGTAAAGAGGAAAAACCACAGGACCGTGCCGGCTGGTGCAGCGAAACCATTTAACTATATCCTACACTCACAACAAAAGGTGGGGCTCATAAAATTTCCTTCAAAAAATACAAATTGGAAACTCCATCATGGCCAGTTTCACCAAATACAGGATCTTGTCCCCTGAACACAGGTCTCAGGCTCTAGGGACCAAGCTGCTCCTGACAGATGTGCCCTGCCTCGTTTGCTGTCCTACAACGGGAAGTGACAGGGTTGTCAGAGGACCAGTCTGAATATTGGTGTCACACTCCCAGGGGCTGCCGCACCCACGCCTGGGCACTGCTGGGGCTCCCAGCCTCAGCCTTCTTCCTGTAGAATGGGACAATAAATGGGCGCCCAGCCTGGTGCCAGTAGGTCTTGGGGCTGGCGTGAGAATCCAGTCCCAGTCCCACAGCCAGTGCAGCTGGGCCCTGACCCCTCCTGCCCAGGCACCCCCGAAGGTAACAGCCCCATCTGCTCACCCCAGGCTAAGAAGTCCATCTCTTCCCACCTCTGCACGCTGGCCGACTTCGCCATTGAGATGTTTGACGTCCTGGATGAGATCAACTATCAGTCCTACAACGACTTTGTCCTCCGAGTTGGTAGGTGGCTCTGGGGTCCCGTCACTGATGAAAAGCGCCTCCTACCCTGTGTGTGAGCTGGGACAGCATTGTCTCCAGAAGCAGCTTGTGCAAGAAGAGACAATTCAGAAAGGGCTTTCGGACCAAAGACGAGGTCCAACTCAGGAGATACATCGCCTTTCTCTGAGAGGAGGATAGTTTTTCAGGGAAGCTCCTGCTAGGCTGGAGTCAGGTGGAAATGGATAGTAAGGGTCCCAGCCACACCTCCACACACCCCTTCCTTCTTGAACAAGATTCCGCAGAGCCAGATTCTATGCTTGTCTTGTGACTCACACACCGCCCAGCCTGCATGATAGACCTTGTCCTGCCCAGCACGCAGGCCCCGACCTGAGGTGTCCTGATAGAACTCGTGGGCTGGGGGTGTTCACCACAGAAGCCAAGCAGCCAGCGAGCCCTGCTGCAGTGCCTCCATGGCTGGACTTGCTGGGGGGTGGACAAGGGGCCTCCGGGGCCTTGGTGGATGCCAGCTGCCTTCCTGTACTTCTTCCTGGGCTGCCCCCCCAGGCCCTGGATTCTAGGGGAAGGTATTCAGCCAAGTGCAGAAAAGTCAGTCTGCACACACGCAGAGGGGCCATGGTGTGGGGGTCTGCTCAGCCTGGATAGCGCTGGTCACGGAGGGCTGCCGTGGGCTGTGCTGGGTTCTACCCACTGTCCCATGGAGGCCAGGCTAGGTGGCAGAGGGCCTGTGTGCCCCATTCATTGAGGAGGAGACCCAGGCGCAGAAGGTGAGAACTTCGACAAAATCTCCCGAGAGGAGATCCTGACTGGCACTCCTGGGCCTGGTAACCGAGTGGGAGTGGTGGGGGGAGGGCGCTTTGCTCTCTCCCCCCAGAGCACCCGAACAACAAGCTCTTTTTTGGGACCCACAACTCACAGCACAAGCAGGGCTGTACCCTAAGAAAAGCTTTGCTAGAAATATATCTGGGAAAGAAAGTGCACTTAGGGACACATTGTGGTCACAGAGGCTGCAGTATCTGGTGGCCGCGGAGGAGCAGGACTTGGGCTGATGCTCCAGGGCCTGGGATGCTCCCCAGGTTTAGGAATCACTCTGCCAGCCTGCATGTGGCAGTGTGCTGGGGGCCATGTGGGACAGGCGGTCACCACCCCTCTGTGAGGCTCCAGGTGATGCAGGTGGTCTAGAGAACAAGACCCGAGGGGTGCAGCCTTCTCTCACTGGGCAGCGTCACTGCCCCACACAGCTCCCACACTGCAGGTGACAGCAGACCCTGCCATGACTGTTTTCCAGGCATCAACGTTGGCCCAGTGGTGGCTGGAGTGATCGGTGCGCGCAGGCCCCAGTACGACATCTGGGGAAACACAGTCAACGTGGCCAGTCGGATGGACAGCACCGGAGTTCAGGGCAGAATCCAGGTCAGGACCCCAAGACACAGTGCCCATTTTGCAGGTGTGGAAACCGAGGCCTTGGGGCCAGTGGTGATTGCCAGGTCTGTAGCCAGCAGGCAGCACTGAGCAGGCTCTGTGTCCCCTGGCAGCCCTGGAGGGCACCCCCTGGGCCCTGCTCTTCATGTGCACTGCAGCCTTGGAGGTAACAGGGTTGGGCCTCAAGCCCGATGGCCTGGCTGCTCCATCCTCTTCCTCATCCTGGGGCCTCCAGGCCCTGCAGGGCTTGGGTTGCCTGTGTGTGAAGGGTGGATGCTGCTCATGGCTACTGCATCTGAGAAGCTCTAGGCCGCTGGGGTGGGGCAAGACCCAGGGGCAGTGACCCCATGAGTAGTGGCCTCGGGGTTCTTTAGGGTGGGGCTGACTCAGCTCTTAGGATTTCCCTCAGAGCAGCATGAAGTCTGCCCAGAGCTGCCCTTGGAGAAATCTCCCCAGAGCTGCCCTGGCAGCCAGGGCATGCCTCCCAGCGGTGTGGTTAGAAACTCAGGCTTTGCTGTGCCCAGGCCCAGCCCAGTCCTCTGCTCCCTGCCTGTGGTGAGGGTGTAGAGCAGCTTTGGTGGCCCACCCATGCCCTGGTGCTGGGTCTCTGCTCCCTGTCTGGGTGTCCCAGCTTGGTGGCCCTGGCTGGGTTCCATTTGCCCAGGGAATGGGTGGTGGGATTTTCTGGGCTGCTCAGGTCCTTCTATATCCCCCATCCTGCCCCTGCGGACCCCCACTGTTTGTATTAAGGATGACACTGGCTGCTGTCTGTCTCTAGGTGACGGAGGAGGTCCATAGGCTACTGCGGAAGTGTCCCTACCATTTTGTTTGCCGAGGCAAAGTCAGCGTCAAGGGCAAAGGGGAGATGCTGACCTACTTTCTGGAAGGCAGGACTGATGGGAACGGCACCCACTCGCGGTCCATGCACCTGCAGCGGAGGATGTATTCTTATGGGGGAGCTGGAGGCCAGGCCAGACGGCCACCCCTGTGTCCTGCCGCTGGCCCCCCAGTGAGGGCTGGGCTCCCCCCAGCACCCCCTGGCCCATACCTGCCATGCACAGCACCAGGGAAGGAGGCTTAGTGGACCCACGTGGGCTGCTGGAGGCGCATGCAGGGTGACACGGGCCACCATGGCCCTGGCCAGGACCAGCCAATGAGCAGGGCAGGGAGCCAGTGGCCGGGCTGCAGAAGGAGCATTGTCCACATGTGGCCTGATGCCACCAGGAGCTGTGCCTGTGCCACCCTGCCCTGCCTGGATCAGGCTGTGTCGGCATTGGGACCTTCAGGATGCCTGCCGTGGAGGTCTGCCTGGCAGAGGGACGGAGGAGCCACGCCGCAAGGGAGCTCCAAGTCGGCGCCAGGCGAGAGGTCCGGGCCACACAGGCCTGTGGGTGGCGGACAGGCTTCTCGCTACCAGGAAGCGGGGCCGCTGGCTTCCCTGAGAGCAGGTCCATGCTGTGAGCCAGAGGCGGGTCTTCTGGGTCCTTGGGGCCATAGCCTCTCCATTGTTGGTCACCACCAGCTGCTCATCCTGTCTGTGTGTCCCCTGCCACTGCACCTGGATCCTGTGACAGGCAGGAGGCACCTGTATGTCACTGTGGTTCCATGGAGAACTGGCACCTGTCCTGCCTTCCTCTGAGGTATGTGGGGTCCTGGGTGTTGAATGAACACCCAGGTTCCATTGTGCAGAGAGCCTGTGACAATTACACCCACAGGTCAGGTTCCTGGAGGAAAGACATTGTTTCCCTGGCATGGCCAGTCCTCTTGGGGACGTTGTCATCTTCAAACTGTGAGGTCCTGCATCCAGGTGGCCCTGGTTCAATGTCCAGAGAGGCTGCAGGTAGCCCCATTGATGCCTGGAACCCCCAACTATGCTCCATGGCAACCACAGTTGAAGTGGAGATGGTGGAAGTGGGTGATCAGAGGACTGGTAGAGTGGCAGGAGGGGCCTGGCTGAAGTTGCCCAGATGTCTGGCTCTTGGAGACCTTTGTCCTTGCTCCTGGAGAAGGGCTAGGGGTGGTCCAGGCAGGTGCATTGGCAAGGGGACATCCTAAAGAAAGGTGGCCGGCATAGACTGTGGGGGGCAGGTGGGCTGAGCCCTGCTTGCTCCTGCTGGTGGGGCCCTGCCTCTTGCCTCAGGACGGGTCCCTATCTAGGTGGGCAGCAGTTCCACCCCGTCCTGGTTTGTGTGGCCAGCAGAGGCAGCAGGGGCCTTGTCACAGCTGGGGGGGCCACCAGGGTGATGCTTGGGACAGACTGGCCACCTGACCCCATGGGACTTGGGACATAGGTACAGAGGGCCTGTGGTCCTGGTGGCTCTATGTGTGGGAGATGCTCTCAGGCTCTTCTCTGGCTGTGGGGTGTCCATCAGAGGTTGGGGGGCTTCAGGCTGCTGCAAGGTCCTGAGCTCCGCCAGCCATGTCTGGTCATCAGCTGTGACTGAGTGAGCCATGGCCTGAGAACCTGCCTGGGGCATCGCCCCTGCTCCCCTGCCTCGTCTCTGCTCCCATCTATCTTGGCTGTGGGATGCCCGGCTGATCCTGTGGTCCCCTTTCCACTGGGATTTTCTCATCTGTCTGTCCTTCCTGACCAGATGTGCAGTGGTTGGCTGGCACCAGGCACGGGGGTGGTGGGGTGGGGGGGGAGGGGAAGTGCAGGGTGATGGTGAGCAGGCTGGTGGGAAGGGCCGCATGCCGGTGCATCCTGGTCCCTTTGTTCTGTTCCGATGTGGCTGCTGGGCTGCCTGGGTAGGGGGCAGAGGCATGGCCCCAGCCTGTGTGTCCCATTGCATAGTCAAGGGGCCTTGTGCATGGGATGAAGGTAGGAGCCTGAGGGCAGGAGGGGACCCTGGACTGTCCATCTGGACTTGTCACGGCCGTGTGGCCCCTCAGAAGTGGAGCAGCAGACAGGAGAGACTCAAAGCATGGCCGGGGCTGAAACCTGATGAAAATAGGTGACACAGGACAACTAACAATGGCTCCCAGCCCCTGCTGATGGCGAGAAGCAGGAGCATTGTTCCCACGAACATGGAGAGTAGGATTCAGCTACGACCTGAATGGACAGCAGCGGAGTGGGTGTAGAAGCCCCACCAGTGGCACCCGGATCCGCCTCTGACGCTCAGAGCGAAGTGAGCTGCTGTGGGGGACGGGGCCTGGGGGGCCTGCAGGATGGCACTGCACGCTTGCGTGTCCCCCACCCCGGCACCAGACTGTTTCATGGGGCTGCCTGGAGGCTTGGCCGAGGGCAGACATCCCTGTCTCCATCAGCAGCAGCTCCAAACCCCGCCTCTTCCTCCGAGGTCAGGAGCTGTGTTCAGCCATATGTTCCCTGGGGTTTGTTGAAAACCACTTTCTTCCTTTTTATTTGTGATAAGCCTGTATTATATTGCCTTATTTATTTTTAATCTTGTACAGTATTCATGTACAAATGTTAGAGCCATTCGGGTAGGAGTCTCGAAATTATTTATTTTAAGATGCTCTGTACATAGTGCACCACTTCCAGGTGCTGCCTGTCACTTGTACCAAAAATGAGGAAAAGCCCGGCTCCGCCCTGTTAGCCCTGCGTGCTCGGCAATGCCGTGGCCCTCGGGAAATGGCCCTGTGTGTCCCCTCTTCGCATGCCTCCCGTGCCTGCCACTGTAGAGTAGAACACAGCCCCAGAATGCTTCCAGATGCTTCCATGGGCCGTGCCGCCCAGGCCGGTCCACTCCTGGGGTGCCCGTGTCCTGCAGGTGGACGCCCCATACACCCAGCCACCCAGTTGTCAGCCCGTGTTTCTCAGACTCTAAGCCACGGGGCGTCCCGACCCTTCTGTCATCGATGCAATAACTGTAACTCTATGCTGTAGAGCCCAGTCTGGCCCTCTGGCAGATTGGCCTTTCAGAGACAAGCCATGCCCAGGAGTTTGCCCAGCAGGGCTGCGCTTCCCAGAGCCCCTCTGCCCCACTGGCCTCTCTGTTCCTAGGATCCACCTCGGCGTTCTGGCTGGGTGAGCAGATGCTGCCTGGGTCTGTACACTCCTTCTGAGAGCGAGGAGGCAGCGTGGCCCCTCCCCTGAGAAGCCTCTTCTCACCCTGAATCTTAGTGCAGCTGTCCCGCCATCAAGGGCATCTGGCCTTGGAAAGTACCATTCCCATTCCTGGGGCTGTCTGTGTCTCAGTGCCACCCATGCAGGACACCCATCTGTGGTGGTCGGGAAGGGCCGGGGCGCCCAGGTTGGTATGGAGGATTGGGACCCTAGGCTTGGTGGACACAGCCAAGCTCCAGCTATCTGGCTTTTATTTGCATTTCATAGGAAGACTGTGCCGTAGTCCTAAGCGCAACCCGGAAAGACTGCCTTCTGCTTGCTGGGATGGTCAGCAAGAAGCGGTTTGGATCACAGTGGCAAGGGTGTGGGGGTGCCTGGGCAGGGCTGGCTCCAGATCTCCTGGGAACTTTGTTCCCAGCCCACACAGGGAGTGGGTCCAGCGGGGAGGCTCAGTGTGCAAGGCAAGCGTGGGTCTGTAACTGGCAGGGAGCGACAGTGCACCTCCCACGCACGTGTGCCCCACTGCCCGGGTCCTCTGGGGGGGTCCAGAAGTGCGGCCTGTGCTTCGCACTCTGAACTCTCAAGTAGCCCTGGAAGTGGATGTGATTGTGGCTTTGCAATGGCTTTAATTCACACATGCACTCACACACACAAACACACATGCACACACACGCATGCGCACACGCACACACATGCACAATACACACGCACATGGCCTTAGAGGCAGTTGGGTTTTGAAATACCTGGTTTGGTGAAATTAACAAAGAGCGCAGTGCAGCTTTTTGTCTGGCCTGGAAGCACCCTCCCTCACTGCAGTTGCTCTGGGAGCGCACACCATGGTCCTTGTTGTCCCTCAGGTTTGAGAGTGAGTGTGTGATGGCTTCCTTGGATGGTGTCCTGGGGTCGTGTCTGCCTTTGTGCTCTCTGGGCTAGGATTAGACGAATTGCTCGGGGTGCACTTAGGTCAGACTCACGGGGATATGGTTGCGCAGAGCCCAGCAGGCAGGATCAGGGCCTGCTCAGGGCTAGTCTGGGGAGGGGACGTGGATTTCCGTGGCTTGGACCTTCACAGTGAACGTAGGGGATGGCAGAAAGAGAGGTCTCCCTCAAGGAACTCAGATCCCCAAACTCTTGGCTCACAAACCTCTCCATGCCCTTTGGCACCTGAGAGGAAATACCACAACCAAGCGTGAGAGCTGGCAGAGCTGGCACGGTGGAAGTAGAGTCGTTTGGCATCTAGTGGCCCAACCTCTCACTGCTGATAACTCAACCAGAGCCACGTGGGCTGAGACTTAGGTCCGATGGACCCAGCTGATGACAGCTGCCTGGGGTGCTGGCCTGGAAACTGCAGATGCTGGCACTGTGTGCCCAGTGTGTGGCAGGTGATAGTGCCCAGCATGGTCCCTCTTACAGGGTCACGTACCCTGAGCACAACCCTAGACCATGTGGAGCACAGGCTGGGGGCCAGTGTTGGGCCCCATGGTGGCCTCCCTTCGAGGTACCCCCAGGGACATGATGGCACGTGTCCTCCTGTGGCCACAGCCTATGAAGACAGGTCCAGGAATAGAATGTGAGGTTGGTCCTCTCTCTGGTCCATGCCATTATCGCTGATTTCAGATGAGACATTTGGGGGCCAAGGTCCCCAAGCAACATGCTGTCAGAGGTTTGCAATTTTAAGATTCCTTGAAAGTTTAATGCTTTTGGTTCTGCATTCAACCTGTCCACTATATTTTAAAATATTACTCTACTAGAGGCTGGGCTTAGTTCAAATTGTGTGTCTGCATATGTGTGTGTGTGTGTGTGTGTGCATGCATGCACACACATGTGCATATTTCACAAAATGAGCAAAATAAAGTAAAATGACCTGTTCCAGGGGCTAATGTGGCTTCATAAAGGAACAAAATTAGGACAAAGCCAGATGCCTGGCTCATGAGCCAAACCATCCCGTGTTCCAACCCCAGACTTTCCCTGGAGGAGGAGGAGGTAGCGATAGGAATAGAAGATACACAGACCTTCAGTGGCACATGACCCCAGGAGATGTCCGCAAGGCACCTGAGGCCAATGGGAGACACAGCAGTCACTGAGACTCTTAGATGTTTTTTGAAAGTATCTGCACCATCAGCACCGAGGCAAGGGCCCTGCGGTGCTAAATTGGATCACTAGTTTTGCCTGCTTGGTGTCGGGTTCTCTTGGAACATGTGGGACTTGTGGAGAGATCTGTGTGAGGGTACAGTATCTGCAGGTGGCAGCGAGTGGGGCAGAGCCCCAGTCCCCACATTCCCTTCCTTCTTTCCAGAGCCACTTGAGGTCTGGGATGTCACCTGCAGTGTCCCTATCCAGTGACCTTCCTGCGTAGTGGCTCCCTGCCAGCTGTAAAGTACACCTTAAAGATCAGACAGAGAGAACCACGGTGGCTGCCGTGTGGCTGTCGCCACGTGCTCGTCCTCCAGGGCTGGTCCCTTCTGGTCCAATGCTGTCATCCTCCATGAAGTTGCCGCGTTCCCTCCAAGAGGATCTGCTGTGTCCCACATGCAGCATTGCTGTCACACTTAGTGGAAACCAGACTCCCTGGGCCTTTGATTGGAACTGTGACTTCAAAAATTGCTCATGACTGTTAGCCAGTCGGGGTTTCCAGTCGCTGGGCCCCTGTGAGGTCCATGCACCCCTGCTACCTGGCCACCTATGATGGAGGCAGTATGGCAGTGGTCACGTTGCATGAAGAAGCTGAGGCACAGGGGGCTTGGGAACTTGCAGACTCACCACACAGTGCTGCCACACGAGGCCAGGCCCCACTTCTGTTCCATCCCATCCCAGCACTGTTCTTCCAAATGTTTTCCATGACATCCAGGGTCTCTGCTGAGAGCAGAACTGTGCAGACTGCTGGATTTCATGGAGAACATGAGCTGGTCACACAGCTGTGTGTGTGTGTGTGTGTGTGGCGCAGGAGGCCCCCAGGGCTGGGGTGCTGTGCCCAAGGCTCCAACCCCCCATGCTTGGAGCCTGTTCCAGTCCCCACTGGCCCTGCAGTTATTGACCAAGCCATATTCCTCCTTGAACATTGCTGAGCCCTGCGAGGCAATGCAACACGAGGCCTCAGACATCCCTAATCTGTCAGGTTGTACTTTATATTCTACAGCTTGGTTTGAAATGCAGCAGGCATCTATCTTGTGAAAAATCTCCTCAAACATAGAGGATAGCTGCAGTATTTCCCTGGAAAGCCTCACTGACCTCAAGTAGGGGCAGAACCATGCCACCGCCAGATAACACAGGTTTCGCTTACACAGCTGCAGGGCTGTTGCTGCAGGTCAGGGGCCTTGGAGCGCCCGGAAGCCTGCCTGCCCGGCCTGCTGTTTCTCCTTCCTGCGCATAGAGCTGTTCAGTGTTAGGCCAGGTGCTGCTTGTGGAGTGAGGGCCCAGTGCTTTCCCAGGGCTGGAGCACGGGGGAGCAGAGCTGCCCAGGAGTGGTCATCAGCAGCCCAGTGAGGTGAAAGGGCGGTTGGGGAGGGAGGAACGGGCCTGGTCACCTTGCAGGCCGCAGCGCCTGTCTGTCTCCTGGCAGCAGGCAGCACCAGCTTTCAGATGGGTCGCTTTCCAAAACTTTCAGCTGCTCACTGAGAATGAGTGTTGAAACAGAGACGACTTCCTAGAGTCACTCTGGGGAGATCTCGGAGGTTCCAGCGGCTGGGAGCATTGTGCAGCCGGCTCACACAGGAGCACAGAGGGTTCCCACAGGCCCCACAGCAGCCAGAACTTGCCTCTCTGACCCACCAGCATCCCTTGCTCAATCCTGGGCCCTGGGCACACAAAGCACAAGTCTCCGGGACCTGCCCCACGCTGGGGGGATGGGAGATCCCGAGGATGCCCCCCCCCCGTGCCTCCTGCACACCCAAGAGGGTGGACATACAGCCCACCAGGAGCACACATGCCCAGCATGGAGGGGCCCCGTGTTGCCTTGATCCCTGTTAACACTGCGCACCCCAAGCTGCTTGCACTCTAGCACCGCGGGCTGTGAAGTTCCTATCTGTGCGGACCCTTGAGGTGGGAATCTCCTAGCGTAGCAGGAAGGGGCAGAACCAGGTACACAGCCACCCCTGAAGGCCAGGACAGGTCATGTGGCCCCCGAGCTTGTGGAGCTTGAGCACTTAGCAGGCACCGTGTGCTTTCAGCCCAGGCGCCCTCCCCCCAACCTGCTCCCACTCCCGCCCCCAGGAAAGTCACCGCCATGACCATGTGGCCATCTCCTGGTGGTGACTCCACCCTGACTTAAGGCAAGCCTGAAAGCTACTCCTGGATTTTTTTTCTTGCTGAGCAAAGTCATGTGAGCGCCTGTGTCTGGTTGTCTGGAGAGGGACGCGTCCCTCCGTGGAGCGAGAGTGG